CTGGGCCCCCTCGCCCCCCGAGGCGAGCGCAGAGGGCTCCCGAGGGCGAGGAGGCGGAGGGCCCGTCTCGGATGCCCTCCAGGGGAGGGGAGGTCTGCGCCCTCCCTTGTGAGCGTGTCTTTTATTCGGCGTTTCGACAGTGGGCGGAAAGGGGGGGGGAGTTGGGTGTCCTTCCGGGGGAGGGAAGGTCTACGCCCTCCCTTCAGAGGGCACAGAAATCCACCCCCTTTCAGCTTTCAGCTTTCAGCTGGACCTCCTTCTGGGTCGACCACGAATAACCACCCCGACAAGCGAGGCCGGTTCGCAAATGCACCCGAAGAAGAGATCGAACAGGGCAGGGCTGTTTAGTAAACGCCCAGAGCTGTTTATGAAGGGGCCCTGGGACACACAAATCAATAGATACAAATAACAGGATTCCCATATTTTGGCATAGTTTCTGGGTTTTTGTCTTCCCCCCCACTTCCCATATGTTCCCACATTTTTGTAGGGGATCCACGATTAATTGTGTCTGTGCGTTTTTCCCCCTCCTGAGTTTAGCAAACGCCAATTTGGGGGTCGGGGTGTTTTTACCTAACAGCGAAGACTGATAGGTTTCTAATGGGGTCAAAAGAAAGCATTTCGACTCCCCAGGGGGGTCCGGGCAGGATCCGGGGAGCAGCCGATCGGGCGGAACCCGACGAGGGCAGGGCTCGTTTTTTTGCAAACTGTTACACACTTCGTGGTCTTCGCGTCCCCAGAACTCCAATTTGAATGCCCGGAACCAACTGTAAGCCACTTCGTGCTCTTCGAGTTCCCAGAACTCCACTCCTGGGCCACATTTTGAATGCCCGGAGCCAAATGTAGGCCTCTTCGTGCTCTTCGAATTCCCAGAATTCCACTCCCGGGCCACATTTTGAATGCCCGGACCAAACTGTAGGCCACTTCGTGCTCTTCGAGTTCCCAGAACTCTATTCCCGGGCCACATTCTGAATGCCCGGAGCCAACTGTAAGCCACTTCGTGCTCTTCGAATTCCCAGAACTCCACTCCCAGGCCACATTCTGAATGCTGATGCTGAAGCTGAGGCGGGCTGAGGCTGAGGCAGGCTGAGGCTGAGGCAGGCTGAGGATGAGGCAGGCTAAGGCTGAGGCCGAAGCTGAAGGCAGACTGAGGCTAAGGCTGAAGCAGGCTGAGGCTGAGGCTGAGGCTGAGGCTGAGGCTGAGGCTGAGGCTGAGGCCGAGGCTGAGGCTGAGACTGAAGCTGAGGCTGAGGCAGGCTGAGGCTGAGGCGGGCTGAGGCTAAGGCTGAAGCAGAAGGCAGACAGAGGCTAAGGCTGGGGCTGAGGCTGAGGCTGAGGCAGGCTGAGGCTGAGGCAGGCCGAGGCTGAGGCTGAGGCTGAGGCTGAGGCTGAGGCTGAGGCTGAGGCTGAGGCTGAGGCTGAGGCTGAGGCTGAGGCTGAGGCAGGCTGAGGCAGACGCTGATGCAGGCTGAGGCTGAGGCAGGCTGAGGCTGAGGCCGAGGCTGATGCAGGCTGAGGCTGAGGCAGGCTGAGGCTGAGGCTGAAGCTGAAGGCAGACTGAACACATATACAGGTACATGTACATGCACGTACACATATACATATACGTGACTGGTCGCCTGTGCCTCGTGCCTGTGACTGGCTCCCTGCACGGCTCCCTGCACGGCCCCCTGTACGGCTCCCTGTACAACCAGTCACAGACACAAGCAACTGCTGCTGCTACTGGGGCTGCTGCTGCTACTATCCTCATCAGCATCATCAGCATCATCCCCGTAGCCTTCTTGGCTAGAGCCCTGCTTTCGAAGATTTCCTTTCCAAGGAACTGCGCAGCGCCTACTGCGCACCTTAATGCCAGGACATGCTGACATGCTGGTCGTTCTCAGTCTAGCGGCGGTGCTCCTCAGCCCGCTGCATTGAACAGCGGTGCTCCTCAGCCTGCTGCATTGAAAAGTGGTGCTCCTTAGCCTGCTGCATTGAACAGCGGTGATCCTCAGCGCGCTGCATTGAGCGGTCCTCTGCAGACGCTCGTCGAAGACGCGAAGCAGTTCGGCCGGATGCCGAAGCGAATGAGAGGAACGCCCGAACAAGAAAGGCCGAAAACAAGTTCGCCAAACGTTTCTCGGACCATTGCGACAGCATCCCCAAAGACGTCATGCAGGAATTGCGGGCCCTTGACGGCGCTTTGTCCTCAGAGCCGCGCGCCGCGCAAGAGGTCGCGAATGCGATTCGGGAGCTCGGCCGGATGCCAAAGCGAAACAAAAGAACATCCGAAGAAGAGCGGGCCGAAAACAACTTGGCTAAACGTTTCTCAGTCCACCGGGACAGCATCCCCAAAGACGGGTCGGATGAATTGCGGGCCCTTGGCGGTGCTTCTCAGCCTGCTGACGACGAGCAGCTCGTCGCGGAGGCCAGTGACCCGGAGCATTTGCTACCAGAAGTAGACCCCGACCCCGCAGCACTGCGCGCAAAAAGCGCTGCTCTTATACAAGCAGCTAAAGAGCTCGGCTATTATCCCAAGGTTAGCAGAGACATCGCGCGCTGGTCCAAGTTGCGGGACGACATCGGGCAGCAGGAGCCTGCGGTGGAAAAGCTATTGCAAAATGCGCTGTATTTCGGAAGCCTCCCGCATCAAAAAAAAAAGCCGACTACCGAGCCTCAGCGTCGCAAGCACCGGCTGGCACAGAGAATCGCTGCTCACGAGAAACAGATATTCGGATGCCCTCTGGGAGCTCATAGAAATTCATTGTGCAGACGTAGTCACCGTCACTGGCGTGGACGAGGATGAACTTTGCTTTGCTTGTGACCGAATTATGAAAGACAGTCCGAGCACAGTGCGCAGCTTGAGTTTCAATCATGATTCAGAAGACGGTAAGATTCATGCTCCCACAACTACGAAGTTGGCGCTGCTAGCCAAGGCTTGCCCTAATCTGACTGAATTCAGAATGGAAAGCGCTCTCTTCGATGGAAGGAGCCTACATTATGTTGTAAAAGCAATTGCACGAGCTTGCCCTCCATTGTTGCGATTAGAGCTTGTGGGGCAACGACATCAATGATGGCGCACTGCAAATTGTGAGTCAAGCCTGTCCTCTCCTGGAGAGCCTCGACGTCCAAGATAGTGGCATTGGTGATGTTGCCATGCAAGCGGCGGCGCAAAGGTGCGCCCGAATAGAAGAATTGAATGTGGACGAATGTGCAAATCTGACAGATGCGGCTGTCCTCGCAGTTGCGCAGGGTTGTCCACGGTTGCGTTCACTGATCATCTGGAGTTCCTCGCCATTCACAGACCGTCTGCCGAGGCCCAAAGTTACCGACACCGCCATCTGTGCCCTTGCGCAGCAGTGCCCGCACATTGAAATCCTTGAGCTGTGTGGGCTGGAGTCTCTGACCGACGCAGCCATACAAGCAGTGGCTATCGGTTGCCCATCGCTGAAAGAGCTAGATGCAAGCTTGTGCTGTCAGCTGACTGATGCAGCGGCACAATCCCTTGTGCATCACAGCTCTAGTTTATCGATCTTGAAGTTGCGTGATTGCGCGAAGATCACCACTTCTGGTGTCAGCGCTTTGGCGCAAATCACCGCTCCGCTGAAATACTTGGATGTCCGGCCCATTCAGTTATCGAGGGAGATCCTTTGTGAATGTGTAGTGTGTGGGCGAGACGCCGTGTGAGGGACCTCCGTACCAGCGTTGCTCCTCAGCATGCTGAGGTCTTAGTGCAGCAGGCTGTACGCTCATGCAGTGCACAGGCGTTCCCTCTTCGAGTTGCAGGGCAGGGAGATGTGGTTGCATTCTGGCAGTGAGCACGGCGGTGCTTTTCAGTCACCTGCAGTCTTCACTGCTTCGTCACTGTGACAGCGTTGCTGCTCAGCATGCTGTGAGCGGTGCTCATCAACATGCTGTGGACTGTAGCCTCCGTGATGTAGAATAAATGTTCCTGCAGGTCCTTCTGCGCATGTGTTTCATTGATAGCAGTGTATCGTTTGGAGATACAGTTCTCGAAAGCAGTGAATCGTTCGAAACTAAATCCATGGATAGCAGTGTCTCGTTCGGGGATAAATCCAGTGATCGCAGTGTCTCATTTGGGGCTAAATCCATTAGTAGCAGTGTCTCCTTTGGGGCTAAATCCATTGATGGCTGTGTCTCGTTTGGAATTAAGTCCATTGATGGCAGTGTCTCGTTTGGAGATACAGTTCTCGAAAGCAGTGAGTCGTTCGGAACTAAATCCATTGATACCAGCGTCTCGTTCAGAGATAAATCCAGTGATCGCAGTGTCTTATTTGGGGGCTAAATCCATTAGTAGCAGTGTCTCCTCTGGGTCTACATCCATTGATGGCAGTGTCTCGTTTGGAATTAAATCCATTGATGGCAGTGTCTCGTTTGGATTAAAATACATTGATCGCTGTTAGGTTGCTTTGCCGGGATATATTTTTTTGTCCTTTGACCCTTGGCGGCGCGTGGCGGCTGCTGGGGGGCAGGCAGGCGGGCGCTGCAGCTCGCGCCGGACCGCGGCCCTCGAAGAGCGCAGCGGAGGCGCCGGAGCGTCGAAAAACTTACCTCTGGATGGTATATGATATTCTTCGTCCGCTCAAATAAAAGGCAGGGGAAATAGAAGGCACGGGGGAATAGAAGGTACGGGGAATAAAAGGCAGGGGGAATAGAAGGCAGGGGGATGATATATAATGTCATTCAGTACGAAAACCAATACAAAACCAGCACAAAACCAGTACAACCAGTAACCGAACGAAAAACCAGTACAAAAAACCTAAGGATACATAATGTTCTTCAGTACAAGAACCAGTACAAAACCACTACAAAAACCAGTACAACCAGTAACCAAACGAGAAACCTGCACAAAAGACTTCATGATGCAGAATGTTCTCCAGTACAAGAACCAATACAAAACCAGTACAAAAACCCGCTCTAGCGCTTTTCACCTCACCAGTACAAATAAAAGGCAGGGGGAATTGTCACAGCACTTGTGCACGGGCTGCTGGGGGCGCGAGCGAAGCGTGGCGGAGGCTAGCGGGGGCGCAGGGCCAGGTCGAGACGCGCACGGGGCCCGAGGAAGGTCGAGCGTGGCGACGGCAGGTCCGCGAGCTGGGCCGTGAGCTGCGGCCGCCCTGGCTTTCGCTAGTGCGGTCGGCAGCGAGGGTTCCCTCCCGTCCCGCCCACCCTACGTCCCAAACACGGTGGCGGCGGCTCGGGGGATGAGGGGCGAAGTGGGGCCGAGGTGAGAGGAGCGTTGAGGCCAGGTGAAGAGGGAGATGAGGAGAGGGAGGAGAGGGGTGAAGAGATGGAGGAGGTCCAATCTGGAATCCGGAACCCGGAATCCAGGCTTCCGAACTCCGAGTTCCGAACTCGGATTGGAGAGGACGCCCTGGCCGCGAGGCTCGTCTGGCTCGTTGGGCCGCCTCCTCGCTCGCTCCGCTCCTTCGACGCGCGTCATCATCCTCATCATCATCATCATCACAACATCATCATCATCATCATCATCATCATCATCATCATCATCATCATCATCATCATCATCATCATCATCATCATCATCAGCATCATCATCATCATCATCATCATCATCATCATCATCATCATCATCATCACCGCCATCATCAGCAGCATAATCATCAGCATCAGCATCAGCATCATCATCTTCATCCTCATCCTCATCCTCATCCTCATCCTCATCATCATCATCATCAGCAGCAGCAGCATCAGCATCATCATCACCAGCAGCATAATCATCATCATCCGCAGCAGCATCAGCATCAGCATCAGCATCAAAAAGATCATCATCATCATCATCATCATTATCATCATCATCAGAATCATCATCATCATAATCAGCATCAGCATCAGCATGATGATCATTATCATCATCATCATCATCATCATCATCATCATCATCAGCATCAGCATCATCATCATCATCCGCAGCAGTATCAGCATCATCATCAGCATCAGCATCATACTTATCATCATCAACAACATCATCCGCATCATCATCATCGTCGTCATCATCAACATCATCAGCATCCTCGTCGTCGTCATCGTCATCATCATCATCATCATCACCATCATCAGAATCGTCATCATCGTCGTTATCGTCATAATTGTCATCAACGATGTCATCGTGATCCCCAGCATCATCATCACCAGCATCATCGTCATCATCATCTCCACCACCATCATCATCATTATCATAATCGTCATCATCATGAGCATCAGCATCATCAGCAGCATCATCATCACCATCACCATCACCATCATCATCATCAGCAGCAGCAGCATCATCACAATCGTCATCATCATCATCATCATCATCAGCATCATCATCATCATCATCATCATCGTCAGTATCATCCTCCTCATCATCATCATCATCCGTCCTCACTCTCCGCATCCTATCATCCTCCTCCTCTTCGAGACTCCTCATCCTCCTCTTGTCCTCCTCCTTTCCTCCTGCTCCTGCTCCTCCCCCTCTTCCTCCTCCTCCTCCTCATCCTCCTCCTCCTCGTGCTCTTCTTCTTCTTCTTCCTCCTCCTCCTGCTCCTCCTCCTCTTTTTTGGCTGGAGCTCAGCACAGTGGAGTCCCCTCCCCATGTGGGGAAGCCAGCTATTTCACAGAGGAGATTCCCCCCAGGAGGCGTGAGAGGAGCAGGATCGAGGATCCCGGAACGTGGTTTTTGCATGTGGGAGAGCATCCCAAAAATGCGGCGACGAGGGAAAAAAGAGAGAAACAGAGAGAGAGAGAGAGAAATGGAGGCAGAGACAGAGACAGAGACAGAGAGAGAGAGAGAAAAAAAAGACACAACAACAACAACACCAATAACAACAACAACAACAACAACAACAACAACAACAACAACAACAACAACAACAACAATTACTAGCACGTGGGGACACTCCGTTCTCACCAGTGCCAGGGTTTTCATAGGAGGCGGGCAATACCCCCACTTTGTGGGGGGGCCGGTTCAAGCTCTACCAAATTTCCAAACGACTCTTCGCCACCACCCACACCCAGCTTCCCGCCCTATGACGTTCGGACACTTCACTTCGTGGCATGCGGACGACCGTGGCTACTATTCAGGGCCCCGCGGCCGACGACGACGGCGTGCGCGCGCGAAGAAAAAACGAATGTGTCCCGCATGGTATTATTTGACAGGGATGATGGCCCTGGCAGGTGCGCAACCGTTGTCGCAGAAGTTCGAAAAAGTTGCTCGCAAAAGCCCGTTTGACAGAAATGTTTAAAAAGTGTTGGGTTTCCTACGAATCCGCAAGAGCGCGCGGGATGAGATTTTGACAATTTTTTGTTGAAAAACCATTGGTTTTTTGATGTTTTTATGTTAAAATCGCTGCGAACACTAAGGTTTTGGAAGGATTTCGTCTTGCGCGCGCGAATGTCCACTTTACCTTATTTTTTGCAAGGGATTCTTGAAATTTGATTATATTAGAACAAGAAATGTCATTTTCTATTGTTTTTTGCAAGGGAAAGCGGATTACAACAAAACAACCGGATCCTGTACACACCCTCTTTTCTGAGGCTTCCTCACGAAAATGATGAAAATGTAGCTGCGGCCTAGGCGGCGCAGGGGGGGCGCGCACCAGGGGGCCCAACAATAATTATTCTTTAGAATAAATAATGTTCAACAACAACGACGACGACGACGACGACGACAACGACAACAACAACAATAAAAAGGAACGAGCGAGAGAAAGAGACGGTGATGGTGGGAGAGGTAGCTGCTCAATGGAGAAATCTTGACGGTAGGATATGCCGCTACACGATATGATGGAAAGAACGGCGTGTGGCATCGCAAGGAGGAAGGAGACGCGAGGAGGGAAAGGAGGGAGAGGAGGAAGACGAGCAATTCGGACGGAGGATGGAGGAGGGAGGAGGAGGAAGAGCGAGCGAGGGAACGGAGGGAGGAGGGAGGAGGGAGGGAGGAGGAGGGAGGAGGAAGAGCGAGCGAGGGAACGGAGGGAGGGAGGGAGGGAGGGAGGAGGCGGGACGAGGAGCAGGAGGAGGAGAAGGGGCCGACCGCCGGCCGCCGGCCCGGCGGCCCGGCCTCCTCGTGCAGCCCTCGCAGCCCGCGGCCGCATGCCTCGCCGATGTCGCCGATCCTGCACCGGTCTCGGCGCGCCGCGTCCTCCGGGGCAGGGCCGGGCGGGCAGGCAGCGGAGACCTCCCAAGGGGCCTCCGAGTTCCGTCGGGCTGCTGAGGGAAGGGACGCCAAACTCTTTGGTCGGCGCGTCGGGAGCGGGCCCCTTCCGGTTAAGAGCTAGGCGGGGCGCGCGAAGCCCTAATTGGGGAGACAGGGCGCGGGCGGGCGGGGCCTCAGGCGCGGCAAGGGCGAAAGGGGGGGATAGCAAAGGGGGGGGGTGAGAATCAGCTCACGTAATTAGCTGATTTTCCCGGCGCCTCCCGGCGCCGGAGGCGGCTATGTGTCGAGGAACGGGCCCCTCGGCGAGGCCGAAACCAGCTGCATGCAGCAAATTTCGTACCCCCCCCTTTTCCAATCCCCCCCTTTCGCCCGGCCCGATGAGAGAAGGAACGCCAAATAAGGAACGAAGCCTTTTTTGGCACGAAAAGAGCCTGGGTGCACGAGGAGCGCTGCGGGAACAGCCACGGACTGACCTGAGGAGCAATGGGCCCACTCCGAACGGCGGTCCTTATTTCGGCGTCTTGGCTGCAAAATGGGGTGGGGAGATCGCGCCGCATCGCCAACACGTCGCCGACACCATCAAAAAGCGACTCGGGACGAAGAGCCGGCGGCGTGTGCGACTCGAACAGATCCAGTCGTCGGAGGTCTGGGCAGGGGGCGATATCGGGGCAGGATGCAGGGGGGGTTCTGGGGAGGGAGGATGCAGAGGTAGGGGGGGAAGTCACAGGGCTTCTACGGGGGCCCAGGCGGAGAGGGCTGCGAATGCCAGAATGACCTGCCCTTTTTCACTTAAGAAGCGATCCTAACGGTAATTACGCCTCCGACGCCGCGGGAGAAGCGAGTCTGGAGCATGACTCGGCGCTGCTGCTGTTCTGCACACAGAATGCGATTCTACACGAAATCCAGGGCCGTGTCGCCAGTGAAAGCCGCCCTCACAGAGCAAGGAACCTCCGCGACCCAGAACAGGAAGAGCAGCTTCTGAACGAGAAGGCCCCATCGGCCGACCCCCGCTTGCCGGGGGCGAAAAAGTGTGCGAGGTGATTCGCTTGCCCCTCCCCGGGGGGAAGGGGGAAGGGGGAAGGGAAGGGGGAGGGGGAGGGGGACCAGGGAAGGGGAGGGGGAGGTGTGTGGGGGAAGGGGGAGGGGAGGTGTGTGGGGGAAGGAAGGAGGAGGGAAGGGAAGGGGAGGGGGATGTGTGTGGGGGAATGGGAGGGGGACCAGGGAGATCGCAACTCGACGCGCCCCGGAGCCTCCAGATCCGCCCGGCGTGGCCCCGAAGATGCCCGAGGCGGAAGGCAACTCGCCGAGGAGGTCTCGAGAGCATCCAGGATGGCCCCAAGACGGCCCAGGGAGGCCCCGAAGACTCCCCGAGAGGGCGCCCGAGAGGACTCCCAAGAGGGCCTCAGGAAGCAAACAGCACCGATTTGCCAGGGGTGTTTAGCCGAGTGCCGCGTGCAGAAGGAGGTGGAGGAGGAGGAGGAGGAGGAGGAGGAGGAGGAGGAGGAGGAGGAGGAGGAGGGGGAGGAGGAGGAGGAGGAGGAGGAGGAGGAGGAGGAGGAGGAGGAGGAGGAGGAGGAGGAGGTGGAGGAGGAAGAGGAGGAGCGTTAGACAGCCCAAAGGGACCCCCAGACCGGCCCCAGGTGGGGGCCCAAGACTGCTACCCACGGGGCCCCCCAGACGGCCAAAGAAAAAAGTAAAGACAGTCCCAAGAGGCCGTCTCCTCGGCAAAACTTCGCTGAGAAGTTTGAAACTTCAAGCAAACTGAAAAATGTTTGGATGTTTACCAATTTCGACTGGCTGGTGGTCGCACAGGTGGCCCTTATACTAAATTTGAAGCTTCCCCGTCGCATGATCAAACATGGAAACTTCGAAGCCGTTTTGGATACAGTCCAGAATTCATGCTTGGACAGCTCTAGACACAAGTCGGACCACAAACCAGGGGCCAAACCGGCGCCGGCGCGGGCCCAGATTGAATGGAATTCGTACTGGGCTCAGGTCCAACACGAGGACGAAAGCGCTTGGGCAATCTAGATGTTATCGGGCTGTCTTGGTACAATGTTGGGCCGTCTTCTAGCTATCTCTGTCCTTCTGTTAGCGATGGGCACTTTAGCAGGCCTCCCTATGAATGATCGAATGGTACTGATGAGCGACGATCAAACGACGATCTAAGCGTCAATCAGCCACACAGCATACCTGAGTCCAATTAGTGCGGAAGGAGAAGCACGCAACGTAGCAGGGGAACAAAACGCTCCTGGTACTGTCTCTTACTGTTCCGGCATGTCTTCACTCCGTCTTGGGTGGGCCATCTTCGGCTCGTCCAGCAATGGGCGGGCGGTGAACGCGAAGCGTCTTGACCAATTCAATACCTGATCCATGCTAAACGCTTTTGAACACAGAAGGCCCTATCAGGGATCCTGAGCGGAAATTAAACAGAAAGCGCAATATCCTCGAAGTTAGTCCCAATCACACATGAAAATACCATCAATCAAACTAAAGGCTGACTCTTCTGTGGGCCCTCTCAGGGTACATGAAGCCCCCACTGAGCCGTCTTCGGGTGTCCAGGAGAGCCTCTTGAGGCTCCCCTTAGGCCATCTTGGAATCTTGGGGGCCTCTTTGAACCCACCTGGGGCAGTGTTGAAAACATGTGACCCAAATCCGACGTCGCGAAAAAAAGCATCGTGAAAAATCACAAACAGAGCAAGGGCCTCCCATGAGGCCCAAAAGGGCGAAACATCGAGGCAAGGGTAGTGGAAGCGGTAAGTCTTCTTCCTCTGCGCACATACACTTTCGGAGGTCCGCGCGGATTCCTCGAATCTGTGCTGGACCCTCCTCCCTGGCGCGCGGAGCGCGCCAGAGGCGGCGCCCGAAGCGCCGCCAGGGGGGCCCAGCGCAGATCCAAGAAATCCGCGCGAACCTCTCAAAGGTTATGTTCATGCTCCTCGACTCTCGGACGGGCTTCTGGGCACCAGCCCCTGCGGCTGCCTTCAGCTCCTCGGTCGGACCCCATCTGGGAAGCCAGGCACTCCTCCGTCGGACACCTGGAAATCTCGACTCACTCCCCAGAACCGGATTCTCATCCCGAGTCCTTCTTTCTCGGTCTGGCGGCCCGGCGAGAGCCCCCTGAGGCCGAAAGCTACCAAAACCCCTCCGTCGCGAGGAGCTTCTTGGCGCCTGGGGAAACCAGAAGATACCGATACTGCTACTTCTTGGACCTCTCCTGCGGCGCGTTCTGACCAGAGTCTCGAGGCGAATCAAGCCGTGGCGACGAGGGCTTCCCAGGAGGCCAGGGAAGGGAAAAACGAAGGAAAGGTAGCGGTACCAATGCCTTTTCTCGGCGGCGAGCGAGGGGGGGAAGCGAGAAGGAGAAGGCCTTCTCAGAAGGTTCGGAAGCCTCCCTCGAAGACACAGAAGACTTCTCAAAAGGCGCGAGGGCTTCTGAGAAGCCCCGCCGCCTTCTGAGAAGGCCTTCTCCTTCTCGCTTCCCCCCCGGGCTCGCCGCCGAGAGCGTGCTGGGGAAACCAAAAGCTGCCGATACCGCTACTCCCAGGACCTATCCTGCGGCGCGCTCTGACCAGCATGCCGGGGCAAATCCAGCGGTGGCGACGGCGGCCTCCCAGGGGCGATGGGTAGCGGTATGGGTACCCTTTCCTCCTCATCCGTCTCCGCCTCCTCTTCCTCCTCCGCCTCCTCCGCCTCCGCCTCCTCCGCCTCCGCCTCCTCCTCCTCCTCTTCCTCCTCCTCCGCCTCATCCTCCGCCGCCTCCTCCTCCTCCTACGCCCCCTCCTCCCCCCCTTCCCCTCCCCCCTCCCCCTCCTCCTCCCCTACTCCCTCCTCCACCTCCCTCTCTCTCCTCCTCCTCCCCTCTCCTTCTCCCCTCCTCCTCCCCCCTCCCCCCCTACCTCCCCTCCCCCCTCCTCCCCTCCTCCCCCTCCCCCTCCCCCTCCTCCTCCCTCCTCCTCCTCCTCCTCCCTCCTCCTCCTCCTCCTCCTCCTCCTCCTCCTCTCCCTCCTCCTCCTCCTCCTCCTCCTCCTCCATCCTCCTCCTCCTCCTCCTTCTCCTCTCTCTCTCCTCCTCCCCCTCCTCCTCCTCCTCCTCTCCTCCTCCTCCTCTCTCCTCCGCCCTCCTCCTCCCCTCCTCCTCCTTCCTCCTCCTCCTCCCCCCCCTTCCCCTCCCCCTCCTCCTCCCCCCTCCTGCCTTCGCCCCCCTCGCTCGCCGCCCTCCTCCCTCCCCGGCGAGGCACCCGCCCCCGGCGGCCGCCTCCAGCTCCGCCAGCCGCCTGCCCACGGCGTGGCCGCCACGGCTCCGCCGCCCGCCCGCCCGCCCTCCGGCGAGGCGCCTGCGCGCGCGGCGGGGGCGCGCGCCGGGCACCGAGGCGCGCGCCGCGGGGCGCGTCGTCGTCGTCGTCGTCGTCGTCGTCGTCGTCGTCGTCGTTCGTCGTCTTCGTCGTCGTCGTCGTCGTCGTCGCGCGTCGTCGTCGCGTCGTCGCCTCGGGCGCGGCGCGCCGCGCGCGGCCCGCGCGCCGCGGGGCGCCCCGCGGAGCGCGCGCCCCGCGGAGCGCGGGCCGCGGGTGGGCGGCGAGGACGGCGACGAGGAAGGACGACGACGACGACGACGACGACGACGACGACGACGACGAGGACGACGACGACGACGAGGACGACAAGGACGACGACGACGACGACGACGCCGACGACGACGTCGTCGAAGACAAAGACAAAGACGACGAGGACGACGACGAGGAGGAGGACGACGACGACGACGACGACGACGACGAGGACGACGACGACGACGACGACGACGAGGACGAGGACGAGGACCGATGGTGCCCCCGTGGTGTCCCGATTGGTGTCCCGATTGGTGTCCCGATTGGTGTCCCGATGTTTGTCCCGATGTTTGTCCCGATGTTTGTCCCGATGTTTGTTCCGATGTTTGTCCCGATGTTTGTCCCGATGGTGTCCCGATGGTGTCCCGGTGGTGTCTCGATGGTGTCCCGATTGGTGTCCCGATTGGTGCCCCGATGGTGTTTCGATGGTGTCCCGATTGGTGTCCCAAAGGTGTCTCGATGGTGTCCCGATGGTGTCTCGATGGTGTCCCGATGGTGACTACCAAGTCTATCACCACCAGCATCACCACCACAACTGTCACACCACCACCACTGTCACCGCCGAGCGCGCTTTCTACTGCCTTGACCCACTGGAGTGGGTGCAGCGTTCGGAAAAATCTCACGGGCGTATCAGCAGCATCCTCACCATCACAATCATCGCAGTTGTCATCAGTTGGCTCCTCCTCCTGATAACCTCCTTCTGACCCGAAGGGTGGTCGTATAGGTACGAACATTGTTGACGCCAACGGACAATGGCCCCAGACATGCTCGCGTCGTGAAAAATCACCACGCGAGGTTGCTAACCGTTTTCGGCCTCCAGGGGCCTTCCCTGGGCCCCGGGACTGTCAAAAAACAACTCGGGATGAAAAGTCGGCGTCCAGATGTTTGCCACAAGGTGTGAAGCCCCCCCGCGATACCTCAGACAGCTCTGATGACGAATGCCGCCAGCGATGCGATGTGATGAAACACTGGCCCTGTGGACATGGTCGGGGATTCTGGGGACCTTCGGTGGGGCTCCCTATGGGGCCACGAAACGTGTGAGGGGTATGCTGAAACGGGTGATGATGATGATGATGATGATGATGATGATGATGATGATGATGATGATGATGATGATGATGATGATGATGATGATGATGATGACGATGACGATGACGATGACGATGACGATGATGCTGATGATGCTGATGATGATGATGATGATGATGATGATGATGATGATGGTGATGGAGGAGGGAGAAGGGGGAGGAGGAGAGGAGAGGAGGAGGAGAACGCGGGGCGACGTCTCTTCAAAACGAGGACCCAAGACTACAGGATGGTTGGGAAAAATCCAGACGTCGCCTGTCTGGGGCGTGAGCCGTGAGCACCTGCAGGGTGCCAAGTGCTGTTCGGAGAACAAAGCCAACCCAGGAGGACACAGTTGGTGGTCAAGGCTCGTCTGACCCCACCCTTAAACTCGTAAAGTGCTCCTCTTGGTGCTCCCCCCCTCCCCTTCTTCCCTCCCCCTTCTCGTCCTCCGCCTCCTCCTCCTCTTCCTCCTCCTCCTCCTCCTCCTCACCTTCCTCCTCCTAAGGACCATGTAGAAGGCTATTCTTCCTCCTCCTCATCCTCATCCTACTCCTACTCATCCTACTCCTCCTCATCCTCCTCCTCCTCATCATCCTCATCCTCATCCTCATCCTCCTCCTCGTCCTCCTCCTCCTCCTCATCATCATCATCCTCATCATCATCATCATCATCATCATCATCATCATCATCATCATCATCATCCTCATCATCCTCATCATCATCAGCATCATCATCATCGTCATCGTAATCGTCATTATCATCATCATCACATCATGATCAGCATCATTGTTATCATCATCATCATCATCATCATCATCCTCATCATCATCATCCTCATCATCATCATCATCCTCCTCATCATCATCATCATCATCATCATCATCCTCATCCTCATCCTCATCCTCATCCTCCCTCCGACTCATCCTCCTACTCCTCCACTTCGCCCTCCCCCGAGCAACCGCCCAACCAAGGCCATCTTCACGGAGCACAAATTCTGAACCTCTGTGATGACCTCCAAGATCGCTCGGATGTCGGAAGTCGCCAGAGGTGGATCCTGGCGGAAGGTGCCCAGCTTGTCGCAACAGTTTGGAACCCCTGGGACCTTGTGGGCCTCGTGAAGGGTGCTCTGGAGGTCGTCTGGGCCTCCTTGGAAAAGCCGTTGTGATTGGTGATGGTGACATCTGGCAACACCCAGGAACCCTGGACAAACACAAAACACTCAGAACACGGACGCAAGTGGAAAAACGTACTCCCCCCATCCCCACGGAGGCTCTCTCTTTATGCAGACTTGGCACTCGCGCCTGAGCTCGGGCCCGAGGAAGCCCGCTGGAGGCGCGACAGCGGCCTTCGACGAACCGCTCGTCGCTCGAGTGGGGGGGCAAAGGAATACCGATGTCGCGCCTCCTCGGACCCCTCCCGCGGAGCGTTCTGACCAGAACTCCGAGGCGAGTCCAGCCGCGGCGACGAGGGGCCTCCCGGGGAGGCCCAGGGAAGCGGAAGAGGCGGAGGAAGCGGGGCATCGGCAACGGCACGGCCCGAAAAGGACGGCAAAGCGCGGCCCGAGAGATCCCTCTCCGCACCCGGGGACGGGCATAGGGGAACGAACAATGACATAAACACAAAAACTCGGAGGTCCGCGCAGATGTCTTGGATCCGCGCTGGAACCCCCTCCCTGGCGCGCGGAGCGCGCCGGGGGCGGCGCCGGAGGCGCCGCCAGGGGGCCCCAGCGCCGATCCGAGAAATCCGCGCGGACCTCCGAGTTCTTATGTTTATGCCATTTTTCGTTCCCCTATGCCCGTCCCCGGGTGCGAAGAGGGATCTCGGGCCGCGTCTTGCCGTCCTTTTCGGGCCAGAAAGGACGGCAAAACGGCAAAACGCGGCCCGAGATCCCTCCTCGCACCCCGGGGACGGGCAGCGCGCGCGCCTCTGGCGGGCTCCGGGCGCGGCGGCGGGGGCGCCGCGGGGGCAGCGGCCGCACCGGGCGCCGCGGCGCCCCCGCCGAGACCAAGCTCGGCGTCCATGGCGCGCAGCTTCGCGGCGAGCTCGCGCCTGCCCCCGGGGGGGCACTCTGGCTCGGGAGGACGCGTGCGGGTGGGGCAGGAGCAGATAGAGGGGCCCCAGGACACACAAATAAATACACACAAGTAAAAATATTCCCAATATTGTTCCATATGTTCTGGGTTTCTGTCTTCCCCCAATCGACGATTAGTTGTGTCTGTATTTTTTTCCCCCTCCTGAGCAGAGGCGTGGTGAGAGGAAAGTCGTTCCAAAGGGCCCCCGAAGAAGAAGAAGAAGAAGAAGAGGAAGAAGAAGAAGAAGAAGAAGAGGAGGAAGAGGAAGAAGAGGAGGAAGAAGAAGCAGGAATTGCGAGCATCCAGCTTGGCTCGTGATCTGGCCCCACCTTGGGACCACCTCCCTCTACGAACCCCGGGCCTTCGGCTGCCGGGGGGCGCGGAGGCGGGCGCCGCCAGGGGGCCCAACCACCCGAGCGTCTGCACCAGACCTCCTCGAGGCGCATCGGGGTTGAGGCCTAGAGTCAGGTCGGGCATGGCATGCCCTCCTACAGGCGGATTTTGGAAGGAACGAGAAAAATATTAAACAGATACTCAAACATCGTCCCCAGGCTATTTGTTTGATTATTTCTGATGCAAAAATTATCCGAATTGAATATTTCCGCTATCCCCAAAATTGACTATTTCTGATTCAAAAATATTCGCCTTATTTGATGATTTTGGGATGGTTTGGAATATCGGGAGCGGCCACGAGGGGGGTGTCCAAGAGGGGGGGGTGCAAATCATGACCGGCGGCACGTGCGCGGCCCAGCGGGAGGGCCTGGGACGTAACGAAATAAGAGGAGGCGCCATGAAATCTGGGGAAATATCATGGCCCACGCCATGATATCCACCCCCCCTAGGCATCACCCCCTCTTTTCCGCTCCCGACGTTGCACGGGCCTTGCAGACGTGCTGCAGCGGCCTTCTGCGTGGATTTTCGCGTGGATTCTTACCCGAAGCGGCGGGCGAAAGCCGGAGCGAATCTCGCGTGGATGCTTTGGGGCCTTCATTCCTGGCCCACAGAAATCCGCACGAAATTCACCGTGAAATCCGGAACGAGACTCTCCAGGACACCCCGGGCCCCCCCAGTCGTTTTCCGAACGAGGTCCGCTCCGCGATCCTGGCGCCATGACGTCCGCGGGGCCGGGGCCGCGAGGCCCGGCCCGCGAGGCCGTGGGCATGGATACGTTTTGATATGCGGGGCGCGAGCGAACCTCTCCCGCTGAAAGCTGAGCGGGACGCGCACAGCCCAGTTGGCAGAGAAAGGGCGGAAGAAGGCGGGGCCTCACGCGGCCGGGAGCGGGCGAAGCCCAGGGGTGGGCATGGATACGCGTCGGTCGGGGGACGCAGGTAAAAGACGCGAAGCAGGAGGGCGGACAGAAAGCAGGTCGGGCCCAGGCCCTCCCGGAGAGCAGCAACACACAGCAGCAGCCTGTCGGCTCTTGAGGCAGGAGGGCGCTCGAAGTGGCCTGGGGTCGGGACATCGGAGGAGGAGGAGGAGGAGGAGGAGGAGGAGGAGGAGGAGGAGGATCAACGACCGCCGTGCCTGTCTCCTGCCCACGGCCGACTCCCGCCAGGGCAGCTGCGCCTCCCCGCCCGCGCTGCCCCAAGGGCGCGCGGGCGTCGCTCCGCACAGCGTCCCCCCGAGAGGCCCGGAGCTGCGGCGGAGAGCGCCTCTCGTGCCGCGGGCTCTCCTCCTCCTCCTCCTCCTCCTCCTCCTCCTCCTCCTCCTCCTCCTCCTCCTCCTCCTCCTCCTCCAGGAGTCCCAAGGTTTTCTCGAAAATCCTTTGGGCATCCTTCAGGAATCAACCAGCAATGCTCAAGAAATCCTTCAGAACTCCTTCAGTCAACCTCCAAAAATCCTCTACCAATCCTCCAGAACTCCTTGAAGTTCCTCCCAGGAGACTCTAAGGAGCCTGGAGCCCCTAAGGGGCTTCTAGGGAGCCTTCTAAGGAGCCTCTGAGAAGCTTCTAGGGAGCCTCTAAGGAGTTGCCAAGGAACCTCTAAAGAGCTTGTAAGGAGCCTCTAATGAGCTTCTACGGAGCCTCTAAGGAGCGTCTCAGGAGCCTGCAAGGAGCGTCTAGGGAGCTTCTAAGGAGCTTCTAGCAGCTTCTACAGAGCTTCTAAGGAGTCTCCAGGGAGCCTCTTAAGGACCCTCTAAGAATCCTCTAACAAATCTTTGAAAAGCTTAAAAACTGGTCGTAATTGGTACCAGTTGGTTGGGATTGGGACCGAAATGGTTGGAGTCCGTCCTAGTTGGCTGTAATTTCTCCCATTGTCGGTCGGATCCCCCCCACCCCTTGCGTCGGACAGGGGGGGGAGCCCACGGGCCTAGGAGTGGGAGACTTGGAACGGACGTGCGAACCGGGTGGGGCGTCGGGGGCCTGGGAGAAGCGGAGGCGATGGGACTGGACTGGGGCGGCTGGGCTTTGGGGACATGGGCCCAAGTGCCTTGTCAACCCGTCCCTTCCCAAAACACTGCAGGACCAAAACGCCATGTGTATCTTCATGAGATAGACCGATCCGAGCGTCCGCTCTTGGCGCCAGATCAGGCAATGATGGCCCAAGGGATGGTCCCGGCACCCTGGGAAACAGTTGTTCCTCCCCTGTTTCGTGGGGTTCTGGTTTTCTTCTCTGCCGCGTCGCACCCAGATGGCCCCCCGGCCAGAAGTCCAGCGCGTAGCGAGAAGCCCGCGGCACCTCGGGCCAGGGACCACGTGCTCCCGGACGTTGACTACCTACCAGACCACCCCAACCCAACCCGAAGACCCGAATTTCGGGTTGGGGGGGATACGGGATCCATATGTGCTTTTTCAATGTTCCCCGACCCCCCCCACTGGAAATGCAGGGCAGATCGGGGCCGGGCCTTCGGGTTGGATTGGGGTGGTTTGGTGGGCGGTGAGACGTGTCATCTTATCTTGATGTCTGCCTATGCGGGGCCCCCGAAGCCCCGATCACCCCGCAAGAAGGGCCAGCTCTCTGTCCGGGGCCTTTCTCTTAGGTCGGGCATGTCCCCCTACAGGGGGATCTTGGGCTTCGAAATCCTCAACAAATATCACAGAAATGCCCCAAAAATAATCCAAAGATCGTCATCAGACATTTTTGTTAACTAGTTTTGAATTTCCCGCCTGTAGAGGGACAGGCCCGACTTAACCTTTCTCCTCGACGGCCCCGGAGGCTGGGAGAGAGACGGCCTCCAGGCAAGGAAAATTGTAGAGTGCAAATAGTTTTTCGGTCGCAGCTCTGGTAGCAGACCGATCTGAGGCGTCTAGATAATTTAGACTAGCGCTACTAATCATTTTCTGTCGATTGGTTTGCATCTCAGCTCCGTAGCTCCAGCTCGAATTAAGTAGAGAGATAACAAACATCGCCTCTCAAAAAGTTGCAAAGTTCCAGGGCCCGAAAAGGCTGCAGGACCCCCGCCTGGATTCTCTCACGGGGCGCGGGGTGCCTGGGCTGGCGGTCTCCGGCCAAGCCTGGAGAAGCCAAAAAAGAAGATTACCGCTGCCGCTGCAGCCGCCCCGTAGCATATCGGGGGCAGCCAAGAGGGGGGCGTCGAAGAGGGTGGGGTGCAAATCATGGCCGGCGGCATGTGCGCGGCCCAGGGGGGGGGAGGGACGCAACGAAACAAGAAGAGGCACCAGGAGATCTGGGGAAACATCATGGCCCACGCCATGATATCCACCTCCCCCCTAGTCATCACCCCCCTCTCTGCGCGACGAGGATATATGATATGCAGTGGGCCTCGGGCGCCCATCCCGAGGCTTCTCGAGCGGGGCGCGCGGCCCGCGAGGGCGGCCAAGGCTGGGCCGAGGGGGGCCGAGGTGCAGAGGGTGCCCCCGGGAGGCGCGCCCCCCCTCGCTCCGCGGGCTGGCCGCGCTCCCCGACCAGCCACAGCCGGGGGAGAGCTGTGGTCCTCTTACCCCCCCGGGTCCTCCTCCTCCTCCTCCTCCTCCTCCTCCTCCTCCTCCTCCTCCTCCTCCTCCTCCTCCTCCTCCACCCCTCGCATCGACGGTCTCTCGAGAGGGGCGTCGAGATCGATGGGGTCCCCCAGGGGGGGTAGAGACCACAGCTCCCCCATGTGTGTGGCCGGCCCGCGCAGCCGCGGGCCTCGCCCGGGGCGGAGCGCCGTGGGCGGGGTGCGCCGAGGCGGAGCCGGCCGTGGCGGCCGGGGAGCGGCAGCGGCGTTCGGTGCAGGTTTTCCTCCGCGAGGGGGCACGTCGGGATTCGGTCGGGCGTGCCCTCCTGCAGGCGGCGCTCTGGGGAAGAGAGAAAGGAAAAGTTGGCCAGCGCGTGCTCACTAATGATCATCAAGAAGAGGGGCAGCAGAATCGTCCCCAGTCCTGCAGACGGCGTTCTGGGGAGAGAGAGAGAGAGAGAGGAAAGTTGGCCAACGCGTGCTCACTGAGAATCATCCAAAGAGGGGGGAGCAAAATCGTCCCCGGGCGATTCGTTGGACAACTCTTGGATGTTCCTCCTGTAGAAGGACAGGCCCGACTTGACGTCAGGAGGGCACCAGCTCAAGTCAGGAGGGAACAAAACACACAGACACAATTAATCGTCGATGCCCCAGAAAAGAGGAGAAGATATGGGAAGTGGAGGGGGGAAGACAACAACCCAGAAAAAATATGGGAAAAGATTGGGAATCTTTGTATTTGTGTGTATGTGTTTGTGTGTCCTGGGGCCCCTTCCTCAAGGGGGGGAAAGGGGGGAAGCAGCGCCCCGGAAGCGGCGATAGAGAGCGGCGAAGGAGGCCTGGGAGTCAGCAGAGCCGCGCGCTCCTGGGCAGGGTGGGGCCATCGAGCCCCCATCGGCGATGCGTGGGGCAAACGAACCTACCTCGCTTTTGACCACCCTCGCTTCCAAGAACTACCAAGCGATGCCTAACTACGGCCCGCACTG